TAAGGCTAAGAATATGTGTTTTTCTTCAGAAAAGAGGTCTCAAATTTTTAAAAATTAGATCATAAGGGTAGCTAGGTGGCGCAGTAGATAGAGCTCTGGCCTTGGAGTCAGGAGGACCTGAGTTCAAATTCAACCTCAGACGCTTGACACTTACTAGCTGTGTGACCCTGGGCAGGTCACTTAACCCCATTTGTCTCACCAAAAAAAAATCATGAAACACAGTTTGGGAATGGAGAAGTCAGAATACAGTCCTGTTGTCTTTTAGCCTTGCTGATCCCTCAAAAAACAAAATTAAGGGAAAAAATTGATAGCACTGTGCCTCTAAAGCATAACATTTTGTCTCTGAATTAAAAAGTTGTAGCATTGTGCCATGATTGACCATTATAATTTTAGCTTTAGATCTTCTGTATTCCCTAATCTTACTTAGAAACTAATCTAAAGCTGTGGTGTCAAACTCAGAGAAATGGATCACTGCAAGCTACATGTTGACTTAGAAAACCACAAATTAGCATTATCTGTGCTGTATTATGGTTTTCTTTATTTTGTTAAACATGTCCCAATGCTCGAATTTTTACTTTTTTTTTTTTTATCTGGTTTGGGCTGCATTCCAGGAGTTTGGCAGGCATGAGTTTGACATCTGTGCCGTAAAGGCTGTCTGGATTGGGGGGTGAGAACCCTTACTTGGGTTTTTCTCTTATCCTACAGATGATGAGTGTGATTTTTAAAAAACTTGCATGTTTCTTATTGGCCCTGGAGGAATGTGCATAAAAACTAATTGAAATCTAAATAAAATTTTGGAATTCAAACCAAGGTGATCATCTCAGGCTTTTAAAAATATATGGTTGACTTATTTCCTTAGCTGTGCAGGGCCTTTCTGTTTTCCTTTTAATTACCCTCATTTTGTCGTCTTTGTCTCCGCCCTGACCCTCCCCCCTTCCTACCAGCTCTGTTCCCTAGTTAGGACTTGGATAGACTAAACCTGTAATCAGAGTTAATTATTACTGGAAGCTAACAGTAATCCACACTTTATTGGGACTAGAGGAGTGGAAGCCCAAAGAAAACAAAGGGATCTTAAGAGTTTCAAAATTCTCTGTGGTGAGGATTTGCCTCCTTAGATAAAATTGTTGAGTAAACTTTGGTTGCTTGGGCCTTGGGCATTTTGAGAAATGGTTTTACAATTTGGCCACAAGGACCAGCATTTATTTAGCACTTACTAGGTACCAGGTAGTCACTAGTATTTTAACAAGACCATGACCAATATCACCCTACCCCAAGCTAAATCATATTAACATACTTATTCTGAATTGTCGGGTTCGAAGTAGAATCCAGTGGAAGGTTTTGTTTTCATTAAACATGAAAATGTTCGTGTTGGTAATAGTCTAAGCCATTAAAGTTCAAAATGATGGCTAGTGAAAGCTTTTCATATTTTCAATATTTAACCGGATTGTATTAGAGCAGGAGTTCTTAACCTTGGGCCTATGAATTCGGTTTAAAAATATTATTTGTAAATATATTCAATCTAATTTGTTTTCTTTTGTAATCTTAATTATTTTATTTAGATGCACTTAACTAACTTTGATTTGTGAAAGGGTCCGTAAGCAGCGCTAAGGCTGCTTAAAAGACCTACAAACTTTCTATTGGAGGCTTACTCAAAATACTATTCCATTCCATTTTCCATCAGTGAAAATTTGTAAAATTAAAAACCCTTCTTTTACTTAGAGAAAAATGGCAATATTTTAAAAGATTCCTATTAATTTGAAATTATTGGTTTTCATACTAGCATTTAAAATAGTTTGTGTTTAACTTAATTTTAATACAAAATTTAATACAAATTTGAGAAATTGTCTTAGTTCACTTTAGTATTGCAGTTCAAATAGTATGAATATGTTCCTCCTTTGGAATGCTCATTTGTATGAATAAAGTGATAACTTTAGAAAAACACATTCTTTGCTAGTCAGCCCTTTGACCTTGCCATCTTAATATTTATTCTATATACATTTTAATTTTTTGAAGGTAGGTTTAGACCAGAGTGCCAGATATGAAATGACCAATATTCAGGCCATTATCTTTGAAAGACACAAAAATGAAAAAAGCACATCATATTTTCTGCTCAGGATTTCCATAAATCCTTTCAAGTCAGGCAGTACCTGAATATTTATTTAAATAGCTAACAAATTGTATTTTTCTAGAAATGAAATTATCGTAAATATCTCAAATAGAACTATATTGTCTGCAACAAGCTTCATTTTGTTTTTATTAATAAAACATCGATAGGGAAGATATTCTTACATTTGCTTCTTTATAAGTAATTATTGCACATATGTAGTATATAGTAGATGCTTAATAATACTATATCTACTTAATAAGCATCTACTTAATAAGCATTGAATGACCTCCCCCTCCCCCCAAAAAAATTTATGCATAACAGAACAAAAGCTAGCCCCTGCAGGCACCTATTGTCTACTTTATGGTCCCAAATCACTTAGGATTAGCTTCAGGATACTTGCCATCTCAGTGTTATGTGTTTTAAAAAAAAATTTTTTAAGGTCATTTTCACCCTTCTAAAAGCCATAAATTTTTTTAAAGAAAAAAAATAGAATGAAGTTAAATTTCAAATGAGTTAACATGCTTATGCATATAAGAGTGGTATTAAAATTAGTCAGGGAAAACTATTTTCATAATGTTTTTCTGGGATCTATTGCATTTGTTATGTGGTTATTGTTTGGGGTGGGGGGGTTGTTTTTTGTTTTGTTTTTTTACCATTATAAAAAGGTTTTCAGATGGCCCAATTTCAACTCAAATTTCATCCAAGAAACATTTTAACTAGGGATAGACATTTTTTAAAGGTCACAGTGTTACTAAGGACTTGGGTGAAGGTTTCCTCCACTACTGTACTGTTAGCCTTGGTAACCACAATATCCTTGGTACCACATAGCCACAAATTGAAAACAAAATCGGAACAGTTTCATAGAAAATTAACTTATTAATGTCTAGAAAAATTTTGACTGTAGATCTACACACGGCTTAAAACTATTTTGACAATGACTAAGCCCATACTTATGGAGTATGGCCAGAAATAACTTAATGCCCAAACCAGTCCCATTTTTTTTTCTTTCCGTTTTAAGTTCAGAATAAAGACGTCTTACCTTTTGCACCTCATCTAGACATATGGGGTGGAAGGGAGGAGGAAACTAGGAAACAAATGTTCATATCTGTGCTGTTTTTGAACATAGACAGGTTGCCCTTGTTTTTTTAAGAGGACTTCCATGGCCATGAGGAACTTTAAAATTTGAGGGAATAAGGAAAGAAAACTTAAGCAGACATCAAAATATGATTTTGTGTCTGAGGAATCAAGATGAATTTGTTTTATTGACAGGTTGAAAAGAAGTGTTAGATAACTTTGTCATTGCTGTACATATTTCTAGAATAAAAACATGGCTAAAATGAAATACAATCACAATTCACCGTGCAGGATACTCCATCTCCTTCTGTACATTTGCTCTGGCTGTTCCCTAGGCCCGGAATGCCCTTCAAACTTCCTTACCTCAAATTCTTTCTTCGAGCCTTTCCCAGTCCAATCTGCCTTGATTTGAGATTACCTTTCTATTTACACTGTGTATATCTTGTATATGTGTTATTGTTTGCCTGTTGTCTCCCCCATTAGAATGGGAGCTCCTTGAGATCAGGGACTTCACTTTCCCCTCTCCCCCCACTTTGTATCCCCAGCACTTAGCACCATGCCTGGTTCCTTATCACATTGCTTGATCATTCCATAGTAAGTGGTTAATAAATTCTTGTCGACTGTTGAAATAAACGTGGACATCGAACAAAAATAATAGGTTTTAATCAGTTAAACATTGTTAAAGGCTAACTGCTCATATAAAGCTTTCTCTTTCTATGTACATCTTTGTGCATAGACATACCATTTTCTGTGCCAATGGACTCCCAGAACTCTATATCCAGCTCCAGTTTCTTCCCTTGAACTTCAAGGTCACATAACCAATTGCGGATTGGATGTTTCAGACTGAATATCCTGGGGTCATCTTAAACTCAAATGTCCAAAATGTGAAGTCATTATGTTTCTCCCCCCACATAAATTCTCTTTTCCAGACTTCCCTATTTCTATCGAAAACACCACCAACCCTCCAGTCTCCCAGTTTCTTAAGCTCACACCCCCTCACCCACATATTCATCTGTTGTCAGATCTTGTCAATTATTCCTCCACATCTCTCATATGCAGCTCCCCTTTCCTTCGGCCATTTGGCTACTACCTTAGTTCAGGCCTTAATCACCTCTCACCTAGATTATTGCATCAGCCTCCTAATTAGGCTCTCAGCTTCAGGTCTCTTACCACTCCAGTCCATTCGGCATAATGCTGCCAAAATACTTTTAGTTAAACATAGATCTGACCTTGTGACTCCTCTACTCAACTCAGCACCAGTAGCTTCCTATTGCCTCCGGGATAAAATATAAATTCCTATGTTTAAAGACTTTTAAAGTCCTACATCACCTACCCTAGTCTTGCTTTTCAGGTCTTTTTGGATGTTGCTTCCACCTCTCACACTCCAAAATAGAGCCAAACTGGCCTTCTTTCCTTTTCTCCCACAGGACACTAGTTTACCCTTTTGTGCCTTTGCACTGACTGTCCCACATATTTGGAATGTGCTTCCTCCTTACTGCCACCTCATAGATTCCTTCTCCTTTAACGAAGAGCTCGAGCAGCATCTTCTGCACGAAGATTTTCCATATCCCCCCAACTGCTAGTGCCCTCCCTTCAAATTACCTTGTATTTTAACTACTTTGTGTATATTTGTATATTTATATTTATGCTGCGTCTTCTTTTATGTGTTTGTCGTCTCTGCCGTTACAATGTGATCTCTTTGTATCCCTAGTGCTAACTTAGCA